AAATTGTGAATAAAAATGAAATGGGTCAATATATTTAATATTATTTTGTTATATTGCTATATTATATTGTTGTTTATTAGTTTGTTGTTGTTATTATTAATTATTATTATTATTACAATTACATTTTTTTATTATTTAATTGTAATCGCTATTTTAAATTTAGTCTCGGCTTTTATTTTGAAAAAACACGAACAACCCGGAAGTTAACATTCCTAAAGAAGTGGCTGCATCACATACCGGTGCGTTATCTCGTTTGTTGGTCTAAAAAGTCTAATTTTAGCTTTAGTTATTAACTTTAAAATAAGATATATACTTTTGTTATTTCATTGTCAGGTCCCGTTGATGTTTGTGACAGATAAATAAAACCAGCAGCGATGAGGACTGTGTTTATGGTGGCTGAGAAGCCCTCTCTGGCTCAGTCCATTGCTAAAATCCTCTCTAAAGGTGAGTGTATGATCTTTATAAAAATTAAATATACTGCATATAATTACAGGTGCCCTAATTTATAAACGGGATTAATTGACTTGGTTTCCCAGCTCCTTCAAATAAAATAGCCCCCCCGATGTCTTATTTGGTCCTGTTTGACATTCATTCATTCATATTACGTTGATATATCCCTTCAGCAGATGGACAGTTGTCATTACACGTCAGATGAGATGCTAGACTAAAAATATGTTGAATGGCACGTTTCTAATTATTTTATAATTGTCTTTCAGTTTTTTGGCTACATACTAATTCAGTGGTTCCCAAACCTGTCCTGGAGGCCTCCCTGCCCTGCACCTTTTGTATGTCTCCCTTATCTAACACACCTGATTCCACTCATTAGCTCGTTAGTAGAGACTGCAAGAACTAAATTGGGTGTGTCTGATTAGGGAGACATACAAAATGTGCAGGGCAGGGGGTCCTCCAGGACAGGTTTGGGAACCACTGTGCTAATTTATAGAGTATATTGAATATTTTTAATAGTCACACTGCAGGACTCTTTAAGTAAGCAGGAAAAAGGTTACAGGGTGTTTAATTTTGTTGAGTATTTTAAAAGAAAGGAGTCTTACATTTTGAAACATTTGTTTCCTGAATGAGATCAAAAGTTTGTGTTACAAAACTAGTTTATTTAATCACATTTACAAGCATTTGGCAACTCAAGGCATCTGTATTGCAGCATATGCATTGTGTTGTTGTTTGTTTATGACAATAAGCATTACTATTCAGTAGACTTCTTTGTGGTTGACATTAAATTTAAGTGACGGTATTTTAATAATTAAAATAGAATCCAGTGCATGAACTGTTACACCCAGTGCTAATTCTGTCTGGATGTAGCACATATACAGGCGATATTGACATCCTCGAATTCCAGTGTGTAAGTTGGGCATCTTGGGTTTTTTCGGAGAAATGGCATTTTGATTGCAATGGGGATGCTCTCCAGACTGAAAGAGCTGTCGACCCCCTTATGTAGTTTTGTTCGCTTGGCTGTTTCCTTATAAAAGTCCAGAACTGTGTCAAGTTTTTTGTCAGGTGTCATTTTTAGTTATATGATGTCATTACGTTGCTGTCTTGCCGCCAGACAATCGCTGCATTGCTGATTGTGGTTTAGAGTATCGATACATAGCCCCTTTTAAACCAACCCATGAATGCGCAATTATCTCAGATAACTCAATCCAGCCATACTAATCATCAACAACAGGTGCGTTCGAAAGAACCGAATTAGCCAGATCCTGATTAGCGCGATGATGTCATCTTGGATGTGACATTTCATCTCGGATGTAATAAGCGATGTACGAAGAACGGGCCCCAGCAGTGTACATTGGCATTATTCAAGTTAAAGAATAATCATAGATTCCATGTGTCCCTTAGTCTATATTAAATACATCAGTGATGAACAATAAATAAATATTGTTTACTAAAACATTGTCTTGGGCTCTCGGTTATTGCAAGGTATTACAGATAAATACTAAAATAAATACTAAAAATGGATTTTATCCTAAACTATTGGATGCTCAGTTTTAGTTTAGTGATACATGTATATCAGCCAGGGCACTTTTGGCCAATTTAATTTATATAATTTCTCAATTTTTGAGAAATGTTTTTTTAATTTTGGGTAAATATTAATAATAATTTGATTTCAGCAATTTTGTTTACCTATAATTTTCCATGTATTATATATATATATATATATATACTGTATAAGTACTTAACTTACTTAAGTTAAGTTAGTTGTACTTAACTACCTTTCAAAAGTTTGAGGTCAGTTTTTTTTAAAAGAAATAAACACTTTTAGCAAGGATTGAACTGATCAAATGTGACAGTAAAGACATTTATAATTTTACAAAAATGTAAATGTAAAAAATAAAATGTATGATGGTTTCCATAAAACTAATAGGCAGCACAACTGTTTTCAAGATTGATAATAAAAAGAAATGTTTCTTGAGCACCAAATCAGAATATTAGAAAGATTTCTGAAGGATCATGTGACACTGAAGACTGGAGTAATGATGCTGAAAATTCAGCTTTTTAAAATATATTGTAATTGAAATTTTAATAATATTTCACAATATTACAGTTTGCAATGCATTTTTGAGCAAATAAATGCTGCTTGGATGAGCATAAGAGGCTTCTTTCCAAAAACATTTTGAATGGTAGTGTTACTAATTTAATATTAAAATTTAATCATTTAAATCTAAAACGTGATTCAATCCAAGTAAGTGCAGTTTCCTAGTTCTGGGTCCTAGATGATCTTGTGAGGCAAGTCTTGTGAGAATGGCGTTGGAGACTTACCTGTAGCTGTTGCATGCTGGAGAAACGGAGGTGAGGAGTGCAGCAAAAAGCTGGAGGCTTGCCGTGCCTGTTGGAGGTAAAGCTTCCAGTCCAAGTGTGTCCACCCCCTCCTTTTGGGCCTATATTTATGTAGCACCATCTCAATGGAAACCTCCAAAAATCTGTAACGGAAGCCAGTGGTCAAAGAGAGAGAAGGTCATCATCAGGCTCATTCACAATGGACTCCATCATCAGAGTTCAGCCTTGGGAACAGCATCTCGTTACCTGATGGCGACCGTTGACGTCATTCAGGTTTAACTCTGGTTGGGCAAAATAGAAAAGAATGAATGAAAGGAATGATGCATAATCCGCTCTTCTCTCTCTCATTTTACTTTATGATGGATCGCTCAATGCCAGCACCCATTGAACAGCTTTTAGCTTTTAGTGTTTCCGAAGGAGCGCTTATGCAGTGGTCAAGCTTACATGATCATGTTAGTTACTTTTGCAGATATTGACATGGTTCTAGTCAGATGAATGATAAACAGTGTGCATTCGAAGAGAAGGATGACGTCTCGTCTGAATGCAATTATTGTGGTGTCAGTGAAAGCTTATGTTTGCACGATTTTTATTTTAAAATACTTCTGTTTTTAATTTTGTTCTAGTTAATGGGATAGTTTACCCCAAAATGAAAATTCTGTCACCCTCATGTCATTCCAAACCTGTATGCTTTTCTTTCTTCTGTTGAACACAAAAGAAAATATTTTAAAGGATGATGGTAACTAAAAAGATTTGGGTCACAGTGAATTCTATAGTAGTTTTTGTTCATACTATGGAAGTCAATGGGACCCGAAAGCAAAGAAAGAAATGCAAACAAGTTTTGAAGGACATGAAGTTATAAGAAATGTATGAGGTCTTTACACATTTCTTTTTATTGCCTTTCACTTACAGGTAGCTGTTCATCCCGAAAAGGCCTGAATGGAGCATGTTCAGTCCATGAGTACACAGGAAGCTTCATGGGCCAAAATGTGAGGTTCAAGATGACGTCAGTGTGTGGACATGTCATGAGTCTGGACTTCATCGGCAAGTATTTTGTCTTCAGTAGGACTGCTTTTAAAATACAAGCAAAATCTGTAACTGTACGCTACCAGTCAAAAGTTTTTGAACAGTAAGTTTTTAATGTGAGCAGAAGAATTCTCTTCTGCTCACCAAGCCTGCGTTTATTTGATCCAAAATACA